CAGCACTTTTGAAAAATGAATTAATATTTGATAAAATGTTGTATTGCAATTCTAATTCATGATATCTTTTCCTTTTTGCAGCACTACTTAGACATACTCCATTTGACATTGTTATTTAAATTAAGAACCAAAACAAGAATTTGCAGGTTTTAAACAAACAAATAAACCAAATACAACATAAAGCACTGAAGCAATTGGACATTTTTAATGGAATTTTACAATTGCTTCAGTATTTTTAGCATTTTAAAAGAATTTTAACGAATTTCTGAGTTTTAAAGCAAACATATACATGAAGAAATGGCATAAGTAAAAGATGCCTGTGTTACGAAATAAGGTCAAGAGCTAGGAAAGTACAGCTAGCTGGTTAAGTGGTATTGAGAATTATGAGTTAAGAGTTATATAAAATGAAGCTACAACAGGTTAAGGCATGTATTTGTTAGATCATGGAAATCAAATTTAAAGCTAAAACCAAGTAAGTGTCAGTTTCTGAAAAAAAAAGTAGAATGCTTATTGGTAGTGCATGGACTTAAAACTTTTTGTTGTTATCTGAATGGTTGAAAGTTCACTATTATTATAGATCATACACCATTAAAATGGTTAATGACATTAAAAGACACCTTCTCTAGGTTAGTGAGATGGTCATTATTACTACAGGATTATGATTTTGAAGTAGTACATAGACTGGATAAAAAGCATTCTAATGTTGATGCATTGAGTAGAATTAGGGTAGAAAACACTGAAACCAAGGAAAAACAGACCATTAATAAAGTAAGAGAGGTAAACCCTGAGGATAAAGATGAGTTAAAAGTAATTTGGGATATAGATCATGTGATTAATGAGCAAAAGAAAGATCTGATAGTAAACGCCTTACAAAACAAAGTATTACAGAGTACACATTACATTCAAATATCTTATGAAAAAGAGCTCAGGATAATAGGTCATTAGAAATAGTTGTACTATATAACTTAGGAACCAAGGTTATGAAACTATATTATGACATGCCATTCACAGCACATTTACCTTTTGCTAAAACCCACAGTAGGATAAGTAAGAGATTGTTTTGGCTAAATATGAGGAAAGATATTAAAAACTATTGTGAGTCATGCATAGAATGTCAAAAACGAAAAACAAGGCCACACTTTAAGAACACTCCATTACGAAGATTGTAGAGTCTAACGACACCCTTTCAGCTAGTGGCAGTGGAAATATTAGGCCTATTGCCTACATCCCACGCAGGAAACAAGTATGTGTTAGTAGTCACAGACTACTTAACTAGCTTTTCCTGAGGCTATATGTTTACCTGATCAGAAAGCAGAAACAATAGCCAAGGCTTTTGTGAATGACATAGTAGCTAAACATGGTATATCACAGTTTTTACTGACAGATAGACGTAGTAACTTTATTTCTAACTTAATGAAAGAAGTTTGTGAGTTATTAGGTGTAAAGAAAATTGAGACAACATCTTATCACCCAGCTACTAATGGTTTAGTAGAAAGGTTTAATAGAATTTTGTTAGACATAATCTCTCAATACTGTGAGAAGGATCAGAAAACTTGGGAAGAGCAGATTCCCTTGTTATTATTAGCATATAAAAGTGCTGAAAATGAGCCTACTTAGGAAATCCACTCTTATTATTGCATGGTAGAGATGTTATGTTACCCATGCAGGAGATATTAGCTCCTAGAAAAGTTAATTATGCAGTTGATTATGACTATAAGGCAGAACTACTACAGAAAATGCAGTTGGCATTTGAGTTAGCTAACGAAAATTTAACTAAAGCTGCTGAAAGTAGAGAGAAACAAGTAAATAAGGAGGCACAAGTTAGTAATATAAAGTTGGGGGACAAAGTGTTGTTATACACCCCAATTGTTAAGAAAGGAAACACTCAAAAGTTAGCAAAGTTATGGAAAGTCCATTTAGAGTCCTTAAACAAACTAATCCAGTTAATTTTGAGATTCAAGAAATCTATGGAAAAGGTAAACAGCTAGTGCATGTTAATAGATAAAAGAAAGTAAAAGGTTATAAACCTTATCAGTATGGGTGTATAGCAGATGAAACTAAAAAACAGGAACAAGATAACAGTGTTTATGAAGGGGCTGATAACTTAGATGAGTTTGATTCATCTTTTAATGATGATGGAGAAATACTAGAACTAAAAACACTAGAGCTAGAAGAAGATGAGAATATTGTACTAGGTGATGAAATAATAACAACTGAAGATGCCCCAGTTAGTAGTGGCAACAGTGAAGGTTGTGCCCCAGTGACAACACAAGCTGATACAGTGACCCATGACTATAATCTTAGATCACACAGTCCTATATCAACTCAACCAGAAGTGACTCTTAGAACTAAGAGAAAACAAATGAGATTTGATACTCAAGTAGTTATACACAAACCTAAAAGTAACGTAATTACAGTCAGTACTGTATCTCATGATGCCTTCAATAACATGATAGGCTACTTACGAAGTTGTAACTAATCTAAGTAGGATAAGGTATATATATATTCATGTGTGTGTGTATATAATTGATGTATGTTGCATGTATTATACTAGGTAAACATTGGTTGATGAAGAGAGAGGTGGAGACTGGTAAATTTTGTTACAAGTAACAGAATTTTACTAAGGAGGGAGGAGTGAAGCAATTGGATATTTTTGAGGGAATTTTACAATTGCTTCAGTATTTTTAGCATTTTAAAAGAATTTAATATGAGGTTTTAACGATATTTTGAGTTTTAAGCAAACATATACATGAAAAAATGGCATAAGTAAAAGATGCCTGTGTTACAAAATAAGGTCAATAGCTAGGAAAGTACAGCTAGCTGGTTAAGTGGTATTGAGAATTACGTGTTAATAGTTATACACAATGAAGCTACAACAGAGATGTTGAAAAAAATGCTAGCCATTAGTTTGACATTTATAAGTTACTGACGCTGAGTTAGTAGTACAGTAAAGGCTACTAGAAAGTTTATGATAACGTCTAAAATTGGCACTTTGATGTGAGATTTGTTACTCCAGACCAGTGTAATAATACAACTAAAAAGGCAACTGGAGCACTCACAATCATAGTAACCAATTACTTGAGAGTTTTGGTTCTTGTTTTGGAATAGCCCAAGAAGTTGCACAGATTGACCAATAAAGTTTGGTTTTCAATTAAAAATGAGAGATTCATTAAAATACTAGAAAATAAGAATAACACATTTTCAAGGTGCATCATGCATGGTTCACCATCACCAATGTAGCCAACTGTGTTGGGCAAAATATTTCCAATCACCATTGTTTCTAGAACATTTTTTTAATGAATCTCTCATTTTTAACTGAAACACCAAACTTTTTTACATTGCTTTTATTTTTGTACGTTATCAATCTTTTGATTTTAACTCCTTTATTTTTAATTTCTATGGTTTTTATTTTATAATGCTATAATGGATAACTTTAGGCATATCATAAAGGATTCCCTTAAGCCTTTAAGGCTTGGATACAGTTGTATTTTTGCAAGGCATGCCATCATGTTCAAATGACAAAGATCAACCTTATAAGTGGCCAAACTCTTGGTGGGCCCTCCTTTGAGCTCTATGGATAGCTCAGTTTGCCCTACTAGGTCCTACTTTTTGAAACAACTTGACTACATCTGTATCCCAATCCCAAAGTGCATGATATAGTTGAGGGCTGCACCATCCAAACTGAGGATCAAGCACTGCATGGCCTATTCCTGAGTCAAGTCTAGACCAGGTTGACATGACCTAAACATTGAGTGGGATGGGCATAGTAAGGATCCCCCTATGCTTGGATGAGTACTAGGTCCCTGCTTCTGGGTAGCAGAATGAATTGCTATGACCAGTTCAACTATCAGTTCTGCATGGTTCTAGGCTTCTCTGTGATCCATAGTTACCCTGGCAGCACCCTCCAGTATACAACTGCCCCATATACCACTACTTTCACTTGCTGGCTGATGAAACAGCTCTAGTAAGTGGATGTCTATTAGAGGTACCTCCAGTCCCTCTCAGCTGGCTACCATGGTCATTGAAGGCTTTGAGGTCCTGTTGAGATCATTCCATTTGATCTTGGACATGCTAGGCTACACATTACCATGAAGATCTTCAGTCATTCATGATTCCTGTGCACTGTGATCGATTATCAGTGTAAGAACTCTGGACCAGTATCCTGAGTTCAACCTACATACAAAAAATATGTAGAAGATTTTCAAAATTTTGTGTAATGAAATGATTAATGGGTAGACAGCATGTAGTATACCCATATACTACATCTGTAGTAGAGTAGGTTTTTAATAGTAATTGAGACACCAATTATATATTCATGGCAGATGCAAGATTTAAACCCACACCAATCATAGATATTTCCACATGTAGAAAAGAAAAAGACATCCATTAATGCAAAAACTTCAAAGATATGCTTTATATGTAATAAATTAGTTGTGATATCTGAAGAAGATAAATCTCTGTACAAAGCAGTTGTTTCTTGCAACAGAATGTTGATGTACAGTGACTCAGCATCAAAACTTTCTGGACATCAGTATTTGGTGAAAATTTAGCATCTTTACTGAATATAGGAACTGCCTACCTGTGTGCTCTAATTGCATATTTCTAAACAAATTTTACAAAAGAAAGAACTTATAAACTGTGATTTTAAATGGCCACTATTTGATACTATTATCTGCATAAAATTCATCTGAACATATTTATTAATATTATTTTTTGTATGGTTTTATTTTTTAGAAGATACTTCTGTAATCAGTAGGTCTGATTATAAGCTTACTTTATTTTACATTGTCATTTATTTTATATAACCATAAATTGAGTTAATTGTAGACTAGATGCATATCTTGCACATACATTACCTGTACAGATATGTCCACATGTATAATGTATAATTTATATGGTTTTGTAACTATGTAAATTTTATTATTCAATGTGTACATAATCTAAAGATATTTTTAATGGTAATACATTTGTTACTTTATAAAATTGATCTTCCCCTACAGATCCAACCAAAGTTGTTCACACAGCTTTGTCATTAGAACCAGAAGAATTTGAAAATTACCAGCTAAATCACTGTGCAGAAATAACTTTTTGTCTCAAAGAGTTCCGGGTAAGCCAGTTTTTTAAGACTTTTAATCTGTAGTTGTGACAAAAATATGAAAGTGTTTCCAAGTTAAAGAATAAATCATAACTAATTCTTGAAAAGTGTCTGGATATTTAAAAAGCAGTTTTTACATCAGTATTATCAGTTGTTCGACTTGTGATAAATGACTAGCTTAAAAGTATCAAGACCAGACAAATCATATAAATGTACTGTTTCAAATAACTACTCAACTAGAAAAATGTATTTCACTATCAAAACAGTTTTAGAATTGCAATATGTTCTCTCTCTTTTGTGTCTGATTAAACCCCAAGTTTGAAACCTATTCAGCAATTCAACATTTGTTTTCTCTCATATAAAATTTCATCCTTCCACCCTCTTTTATTTCTGTGTTCAGAACTTTTTACTTTCATGAGGACTGTGGCATCATTGGTAAGTAGCAGGCCAATTAAAATTTCATTGTTCAATAAACATTAGAAATGACATAATCATGAAGTATTTTGCAGTTGAAGACTCTTTAAATATCTCTAAAATAACTTGTTCTCATTTCGTGCAACTGTTCGGCTATACATCAACCAAAATGCTACAATACTTCCCATCTTTTTTTGTGTCTAAGACATATCTGTGTATTAGAAAAAGTAATGAAATTAATAAAGCATTCAAACTTAGTTACAAATGTTTTACAATATAAAGGTAAAGAATGTGTAGATATAACACACAAGCTATAATTATTTTTACAGTATGGAAGTTAAGAATACATGTGTGATGCACCAAGATTTGTCAGTGGTTTATTATATTTATTCCGCTATTGTCACAAAACTGCTTTTGACTTTGTAAATCTTTCCCAAGTTTTTACATCTTAATATAGTAGCATAGTAACTTAAGACCTTTTTTTTTCTGTGGAGAATAAAAACATATATATAATTATTTTAGTCTTTTTTTGTATTTTTTAAACATTTCTTTGAAATATAAAAGAATATTTATACACTTTCAGGAGTAAATTTTCAAAAAGTTCAAAAATCACATTAATTTACTCAGTTTTTTAATCAGTTGCTAAGTTTGTTTTTCTTGTTTTTGTGTTGAATTAAGTACTTTTGAAGATAAGTATGATGTTTTTTGATTCATAAAATAGCATAATTCATCAAAAGAAATTGTCATTACAAAACTGAGCTATAAACCATGAACATTTATTAATTTTTTACCAGGCAGTATTGACTTTATCAGAGGGCAGTAATGTTCCTGTTTCTATCAGTTTTGAAGATCCAGGGAGGTAAGATTCTTAGAATATGTTGAGTGAATTTTAAATTCAAAAGACTTGTGGGTGTATAATACTGCCTTTTCTTCATAAAATAACAAATGTTACCACATCTAAATACAGGTACTTCAAACATAACGTAAGAAACTTATTGAACTAAATTAGATATTTTTGATAAGTTTATGATTTATAATAAAATACTACATGATAGTTATATGTGCTATGTCATTAGGGAAAATCCTCTTCACTGTTGACCTGAAAACTATGTTTCAAATACCTGTGTTTTACAGACTACACAGAATCTGAAACTAAAGATTTAATGGTATTTCTCTTATGTTCTTATTTTATTCATTTACAGAACAAATTATTGTTTCACACACAATTTTTTTTTTTACTATTTCATTCCAATAAATACACATTTTTGAGAATTGCAATCACAAGCATTACAGTGTTGTAAATTAGCCCATGAATAACACAGTCAGAGGCATTACAATGTCTTGCAATGACCCATGTATAACACAATCAAAGGTAAATTCGATGACGAGGAACCCACTTTGAGAGTGAACCCACTTCAAAGTGGGTTCCTCGTCATCGAATTTGAATTCATCACGGCGATTAATCGAGGTTGTGTAAGTCTAAACGTTTATCTTTGTTATTCCATGTATAACCTTTTAAGTATGTTCTCTCATCAATCCACTATCATAAACCAATCATACCGTGAAACTATCTCCAAACTACGTAACCTGAATATAAAAATCATCAAAAAGAGAAACGATATTTCCTTCCTAAGACAGTGCTGCTCTGAAAAGCTAATTCCTAAATTTGTACCTGATGATGACAAAACCTTGTCGAAACGTTGTACATTTGCTGTTATGTTAAACTTATATTAAAATTTTTCTTCATTACCCATTTAAGCCGTCTCCAGCCATTATTAGTCTCAAAGTGGGTTCCTCGTCATCGAATTTGAATTCATCACGGCGATTAATCGAGGTTGTGTAAGTCTAAACGTTTATCTTTGTTATTCCATGTATAACTTTTTAAGCATGTTCTCTCACCAATCCACTACCATAAACCAATCATACCGTGAAACTATCTCCAAACTACGTAACCTGAAT